ATTTTTTCCAAGAATAACAATTTCACAAGTAAATTTCCCTGCTTTAAAATCAATGACAAATCTATGCCAATGCTAGAATATGTCCTGCTTTTATATATTTATGGAAAATGGCCATGTGGGAGCATGGAGGACGTAGGCTTGTGGGTGGAGCCTTGGACAAGAGCGTGCTGTTAACCGTAAGGAGGGTTTGAACAGTGCCTGGAGATCACTAGATTACTGTATTTTCTGGCCAATTGGGCGTGCTCTTAAGCCTCTAACCCTATCAAAAAACGACTGCGCGCCCCACAATCCAGAGCGCCCTATACACGAATCCACTCGGGTGTCCCAGCAGGACTTTAGTAAACTACAAAGCCGCACCACCCACAGAACACGCAAACACACACGGAGCAGACAGCGACCGCACAGTAGAGATGCGCGGATGGGCTATTTTTAAATCCGCAACCGCAACATACACTCATCATCCACCCGCTGTCCATTTTGCACCCGCCCACCACCCGCCGATTGATTTTAGATTTTAGAACAATCATACAGCAAACAAACTAAGGAGCCTCGATAAAAATGCAAACTCTATAGCTCATTCATTCCAAAATTCGCTCAGCGTGTATGTTCGCATTCTTAATTGTCCGTAACAACCCCAGACTTACCTGGTTTTCTTGCGCAGCTAATTAATTGACAACGTTTTCCGACTAGGCTATTTTTGAACCTTCTTACCTTCGTGTTGGATGTTGTTACATTCTGAACATTCTGCCATTGCCCAATGTTATTTCAAAGTCATAGCCTCACTCCATCGGTCTTTCTTTAAGTTTTAAATACCCCGAGTGGTAGTCTACGCTATAATGTCTGCGTGTTTTAAAATATATCTGATATCGAAACAAAACAAAAAAAAGCATAACTAAATAAATATGGCCCTATAGCCACTTATGTGTTGGCAAACAGCTGAAATAAATTAGAAATAATAAAATAAACTGCATATAATATGTGCCTCAACCTTAACCTTCAGAACATAAAAACGAGGTCAAATGGGCTACTTAAGGACATGACGTATACTTCATACTACAAGCATAGACAATGAGACTCGTCTTTTCAGATGTAGGTAACAATACTAACAATAATTTTTTTTTTTTTTTTTTTTTTTAGTAGTTAAACCGCCACCCGCCCGAATTTAATTAAAATATAATTTTTCGTCACGTCATCCGCCCGACCCGCGGATTAACCGCGGATACCGCGGTTGTAACCGCAATCCGCGCATCTCTACCGCACAGCGAAAAACACCCACAGACACACTCATCACTCCACGCCGACGAGGAACGGAACGAAGGAACGAACCGAAAAAGCGAGTTCAATGTGCCACTTCTAGACGCAACTGAACAACTGAGTCACTGCGAACACGCCGACAATCCAGCGGTCCCAGACAGCACCCTCCCTACACGCCACAACTGAACAAAGCCCAGAGTCACCGTGAACGTGCCAAACAAAGTCCGACTGACCCATCCAACTGCTGTGTTTCATTTAAAGTCCAGTGCGGTTTATTTGTGAAAAAAGTTTGAAAACAGACCTTTTAATGACAGTGCATCTTATAATCCAGAGCGCCTAATAGTGAGGAAAATACGGCACTCAAACATAGATGCATGGACAACATCTAAGGCTACGTTCAGACTGCAGGGCTTAATGCTCAATTCAGGTTCTTTTGTGAAATCTGATTTGTTTGCGAGGTTGTTCACATTTCCAATTAAATATGACATGTATGTGATCTCCAGTGTTAACTTTAAACGCTCCAAAAGTGTCCAGCATGCGCAAGACACGACGACGTGACATGCAGCGAGTGTGCTCAGTGTTTACGGAAGTCGCCTAAACGTGGATGTGAGCATTGAGCACCTGGAGATTCTAAAGTTGCTGTCGTACCGGAGCCAGAACATGTCCAGCTTATTTGTTTTAAGGAGGAGATTGAGAAAGAGAAGGATGAGGTTTTTGGCCGTGGTGTTTTGTGGGGCAGTGGTAGCAATGTCCGTAGAAAGGAACATGTGGGTGCCGAGTCAAAGCCAGGAGTGGTGGGATTGTTATGTGCTTCACTGCTTCACTGCTTCACTGACACGGTGTGGCGGGGCTCTATTAAAAACTTAGGCAAGATCGAGATTCTGAGTGCAGGTGGTTTATTGTGCCAGTGTCCAAAGTGCAAAAATCCCAAAAACAGTGCAGAATATTTACAGTGAGCAAAACAATCCAAAAAGTATTTACAGTGAAGAATCAGGGTCGAGTCTAGCGTTAACTGTCCCCTTTAAGAATCTGTACAGCACAACCGACGTTACCTGCTCTGTAACCGGTGGCAAACTGATTAACAGCCAGGAACGGCTCCCCTTTATACTCCCCTGACTCCTCCCACTGAGCAATATATCAAAATCATTCTAAAGACAAACAATTTAACCATAAATCTACCTTGTCTATGCTACGTTGAGCACACAGTAATAATGTACATTAAATGTCAAAAATAATAGCTGAAAAATTTAAAGAAAATCATATTGCATAATGCGCGTCACATGGTCAGCACCACGGCGCGAACAGCGCCTATTTCAACTACCAGGAAATAGTGGCTCGGTTTGGCAGAGGCGCCACGTCGAAGGAGAGAGAGACGGCGTCATCGGACAGGTACGAGACAAGTATGAAATAAATTACTCTAACGCGCTCAAGTGTGCACCCTTGGCGAATTAGTAACGGAGGAAAGAGGGGAGAAGGCGATAATAGTGAATACGGCGTGAATGAATGAAACAGCGGGGAAACGGGGAATGAACTCGTGTGTGCGGGATGACTCAGCGTGTGTGCGCGCGGGCACGCCAGTGCAGACCGCGGTTACGTGTAGAGGAGAACGTCACCTAAAATCATAGACGGACTGGCTCCGTCACACACGGATTTCATACACAATTTTCTTATGACGAGAAGAACGTTTGTGTACTTTTGTGAGCACCTACTTGTACCACTCTCGCAGGAGGAAACATGTCTTTAGTGGCCTATTCCAGTGAGCAAACTCATCGGCTTTGGGTTGTATTGGCTTGCAACAGGTGCTTGTTATTGTGTTGTTATGATGTGTAGGTGGAATGAATGCGCATGTCAAAAGATCGGATATGTATTGGTTTTAGGAGCACATATCCAAGTGGCCTGGGTCGCATTTGAAAAAAATTGGATCTGTGTTGTTCAGACTGTCATTAAAAGATCAGATACAGGCCATATAGGGGCAAAAAAATCAGATTTGGGTCACTTCAGGCTGCAGTCTGAACGTAGCCTTTTTATTATTTTTGGGGGGATTTTGCTTAATACGTGCATGCAGGATTTGAACTCCTAAGCTTCTGGCTGCAAAGAAACCGCTCTACCATCAGAACTGCAGTAGCTCCATAATTTCACATAATCCACACATCATTGTGTATTGAAATGACAAATTACTGTAGTTGGTCTTTGACAGATTGTCTCAGATGATTTTCTGATGTGAAACCCATGATAATGATACATGAATCCACATCACCTTCATATCAGTAAATGGTTTGAGAAAATTACTTTTATAGACAAATGTGTCTCAGCACAGATTGTTCCTCATGATCAGATATTAAGCACACATAGCTCTTTGCACTGCCACACATAAATCCAATCTCTTCTAAATTATGCAGAAACTCAACCAGGAAGAGCGTTTTTCCTTGTTTCTGTCTCTCAGACAATCATAGACCTTTCCCGTGTCAAAAGAACGCCTGCAGTCAGTGCACCAGATGGGACATTGCCTACAACTTTCAAAGGTGGATAGCATAAGCCACCAAATATCACAAATCTATGGGGAAAAAAATGTTATTTAGGCGTCTCACAACTGCTTGACCATCTCACACTGTGCAGTCCAGTGGTGCCGGTGGAGGTGCTATGCTGTTCTGGATTCTCTCTGTTGAGAGTTTTGCTGGATGCTGGAGCCGACCGCAGCCTTTTCCTTGATAACAGGTTGATTATTGCACAAGCACATGATCTCGAGCACGCAGCTTTCATAGGCGGAAGTGAGCATGGAGACGATTCCGGCTCCACATGATCCTGGTGTTTTTATTTCACTATTTTGTCCATTAAGAAATTCCTATTCCTAATGGCAAAAAGAGAAACTGAAGTTTATTTTTCCTCAGACAGATAACCCAAGCTGCTTCTTTAGCTCTGTTCAGATGCTGGTGGACACTTTTATCTGCCTGAGGAGTAGTAGTAATAGTAGGAGGAGGAGGGAGGAGTAATTTCATTGTTGTTAGCTCCTCCCTTCAGACAGGCAGTGTCCACCAGCATCTGATTCAGAACTGAAGAAGCAGCTTGGATAATCAGAGAAACGTATTTGACCAAATAAAATTTTGTCCAGTTGACAAATTGAATTTCTCCTTTTGCCATAGACTCTACCTGGAAAACTGAGGGATTGTACACGCTCTTATTCCTAAAAAAAAAACTAAGGGCCTGTTTACATGAGAACGCTTGTGGGTAAAAACGACAAAATATTTTATCGGATGTGGCTTTCGTTTAGACGGTGATGGCATTTTTGGGGATTAAAAACACAAAAATCTTGAACCACCCTCCAGACTGAAAATATTGAATAAGCTCCGCCGTAGCGTTTCCATCTACACTGCCCAAGATGCAAAACTCTGGTCAGATCTGCTCACTTCGCGTACAAGTTTACATTACATACATGACCACGTAGCATCACCACCTAGTGTCGCCACCTAGCTGCCTGGCATGCATACCCAACTGAATTCCACACACTTTTGCGTCACCGTATGCACACAGATTTCCTCCTGAAAACACTCGTCTAAACGTGGAATAAAAAGTGAAGACATGATGCCACTTTTACGTCTTCTGTTCAGACCGTCATCATATAAACGTAGCCTAAGATCCACATTTGCTCCTGTAACTGCAGCCTCAGTGAGCTTCATTTGACTGGAGCCGAACACACTCTCACACTCTCTTAGTCCACTTCTTTCTACAGCCTACGATTAGTTCTTTACCTGACTCCTCAAAGTCGTGGTTGGCTAGAGTCCAGGCCTCCCGGATCTGCAGCAGGCTGGTCTCCATGGCTTTGAGCTCCACGGCGGGGCAGTTGCAGTGGGGGAAGTCGGGTCCACACGCGCACCAGCAGTCATTGTCCCGGCACACCAGAGAGCCCTCCTCGTTACAGCCAATGTAGCTCAGAGCCGCCTCCACGAACCGGGCCCTCAGGTACTCAGGAAGCACCGACTGCAGGCCTGGAGGGAAAAAAGCGATGGAGATTTTTCATTATTTTAAACATACATAAATGCAAACGTAGGTTACTGAGTTGGTCTTGTATTGATACTTTGCAGTGGCATCGCGCTGGGGGTGTTCTACACGTATCTGTATCTGAATGTTCAGCAGTTACCATGGAGACACACTACGCACGTACAGTAGCAAACACTGTCAAAAAAGGTTGTCTGAAAACTCAAAAAAGAATCCAAAATCGATTTAAACGGCACATTTTCATTAATCTGAGCATTCACGGTCCTATTTAGGAGTTTGATTTTCAACAAAAAGGTGAGTGTGATGACTGAAAAACTGTTGATTAATGCGAGCGAGCTTGTAACTGTAAATTTATGTGTGAGACTTGACGGCACAAATCATCTCACCTCTTGTAGTTCCAGATAATTCAGTTCTTTTTGGTCAGATTGTGTTAAAATAAAGCTCAGATTAAAGGTTAACAGAGCTTCAGACAGAGCAGAGCCTACAGTTAACATCACACCCCCACGAAATGTTGACGACATTAAAGTAGTGTTGTCACGATACTAAAATTTTAGATTCAAACTCAATTTCAGAACTAAGGAATAGACTCCAAACCACACTGATAATAAAACAAAACAAAGACAAAGAAAAAAAAACAATTCTTGAAACAATAGAATGTGATTTTCAACATTAAATCACAGTAATTTCTTTTCTATTCCCATGTGGTCTTATATCCATGTAATCCTCAGTGGTCCTTCCATATTGGTCCATGGGCGTAAACTACACAGCAAAAACGGGAGGGTTAAAATTTGAGGGTAAAATATTTCAGAGTTGTTTTTAACACCAAAAGTGTTATTTTAACTATTTGAAAGTTAAATGGGGTTTCGAGTTGGGGTTATTTGCCAGAGTTGATGTGGTTGAGGTTAATTCAACTTCCCTTAGTGTTAATTCAGCTTCTCTTAGTGTTAATTTGGCTCCTCCCATTCACCACTTCAAACTCTTGTGAGAGAAGACCAGTTTGAACCAGTTTTGTACATAATTTCATCTTAAATGAACTAAAATAAAAATAAAATTAAATAAAACGCCTCTGTGTGTTCTTTAACTAAATCAGGAATAACTCTATAAAGTGTTTACTCTCAAAATGTGAATATAACTCTGGATTTCGGGGTTAAACAGGAACTTTGGTCCAGTGTTAATTAACATTTCCAAAAAATGTTAAATTTACTCTAGAACAGTCAACCACAGTGAGCGTGCTCTGTGTTTACAGAAGTTGTCCACACATGGACGTGAGCATTGAGCACCTGGCGATTTTAAAGTTCCTCTCGTACCGGAGCCAGAACATGAACAACTTACTTGTTTTAAGGAGGAGATTGAGAAGGAGAAGGACGAAGTTTTTGGTCGTGGTGTTTTGTGGGGCAGCGGCATATGGATGCGCAGACGTAGAAAAGAGTGGTGAGTGGTGATGTGCTTCACTTCAGTGACACGGAGTTCAATTTTCGCCTACTTCAGCGCAGAATAGTGACGTTTGTGGCTTGTTGATAACGTGTAGGTCGAATGAATGCGCTTTGACCGTTCAGACTGAAGTCGCATGTCAAAAGATCAGATATGTATCAGTTTTAGGACCACATATTGAAGTGTCCTGGGTCGCATTTGAAAAAATCTGATCTGTGTCGTTCAAACTGTCATTAAAAGATCAGATACAGGTCATATAAAAATCGTATTTGGGTCACTTCAGGCTGCAGTCTGAACGCAGCCTTAGTTAAACCTTCTTATCTATTTTACATTTTAAATTTTCACTAAGTCAGTTCCATAAAGTAAACATAAAGCGATCTTTTTAGGCACATTCACTCATTAAATCATGCTAATTGTGGTAAACTAAAGTGAGATGCACTTAAAGCACAACACGACTGTCTATTTGCTCTTTTTATCACCTCCTCTGCCTCTTGTAAATGCAACCACTCGAAAAAAATCACCTAGAGTCAAGTGTCTGTATTACTGAGGTCTGAAAAGGAGAGTGGTCTTTTGGTTTACGTCATGTTTATTTCAGCATCCAATAAAAAGATATGATTTCCTTTCCTGCCATAAGGAGGAGCAGTGCTCCTTTTTTCAGAAATGCAAAGTTTAAAGGTTCTATATTTCCCAAAGTTGACTCTTCTGAGCTGTAAAGGTGCACTGCGTAGCTTTTTTGGTGGAGGGTCCGTCAAATGCTTTTCTTCTTGGAGATGTTATTGCTTTGACTGGAAGGTTTCACAGTGTGGGATTAAACCTTTCTATCTTCAGAGACCAAACCAGGCCAAGTTGCAAGCCAAATAATTGTATTTAAGTATTTTTAAGCTATAAAACCATGTGTAATTGAATAAATGTAAGGTAGAGCTGTTTAATGTCATACTGCGGAACATTCCAGGCAGAGCAGTGACACAATGCACCTTCAAGTCATGTTACAATATTGTTTCCTCATCAAAAACACACCTTGAGTTGTGTTATGTTTCATTCACACATGTTTAGTAACTCTTTATTATTAGTCTGTCTACATCTCCAAGCCTCAAAATTCTCTGTTCCACCTTATGATGTCATGAAGTCATGGAATTTTAGACATAGGGCCTCATTTCCAAGTGAGTCAGAGTGTTGAAGACGTGCGGAGACACTTTTTTAAATATTCCATCCAGTCCTTGTATTTGCAGAGGTCGCTGGTGCTAGGCTAGTGCATGTCAATGGCCATAGTTATCCTGCCATTAAAAACAGTCTTACCCACTCCACAAAACACCCAAAACAAATCTATTATTACACCAGACTGTCCATGTGAATGTCTATGTTGATTGAATCATTTTAGTAGTAAAACCATCTTTGCATTTGAAGGATTTATGTCTGAGCAGCAGCAGAGAGTTGTACTTCCTGATAGAAAGCTCGGCAGCGGCGGACTGATATATGAGAAAATAGTCCCTCAACATGCGACGATTCAAGCGACACAACGTTAGTTTTATTTCAAACATTATTCTATCAACACAAACATTTACATGGACAGTCTGGTGTAATAATAGATTTGTTTTGGGTGTTTTGTGGAGTGGGTAAGACTGTTTTTAGTGGCAGGATAACTATGGCCATTGACATGCACTAGCCTAGCACCAGTGACCTCTGCAAATACAAGGACTGGATGGAATAATTAAAAAAAAAAAAAATTCCACACGTCTCCAACACTCTGGCTCACTAGGAAATGAGGCCCTATGTCCAAAATTCTAAACTGTCGCTTTCACATTTTGTTCAGTATAATTTGGCAATTCCAGGGCTGAAATAATCCAACTGATCCTAGTGTAGGTGTATGGAGTTTAAAAACACAGTGGAGCACTACTGTATTACCACATGACATCACAAGGTGGAAGAGAGTGTTTTCAGTTTGAGAGGAGAACTCAGCCTAAATATTCAGATTTTATGTGCATGAAACAAAACACAACTCCAGGTCTGTTTGTGATGAGAAAACAACATTATAACATGCTTCAGATCAAAAAATACCTTAAAGCTGCACTGTGTAACTTTTTGTTGAGGGTCCGTCAACTGCTTGTTGCTATGGATATGTCATTACTGTGCCTGGGATGTTCCACAGTATGACATTAAACAGCTCTGCCTTACATTTATTCAATTATAGATGGTTTTATAACTCAAAAATACAAACAAAACTCCACAGATTTGACCTGTAACTTCATCTGGTTTGGTCTCCATGAAGATAGAAAGGTTTAATGCCATATTATGAAACATTCCAGACAAAGCAATAACATCTACATGGAGAAAAGCATTTGACGGACCCTCCATCAGAAAAGTTACACAATGCACCTTTTAATATAGGCAACCCATGTCCAGTTGTAAATGTAAAACGTTTTAACTCTGTAACAGGCTGCACACAGTTCCTGCATACAAAACATTAACAGGAAAACATACCTAGATATTTTTGTTATTATTTCAAGTCCAGAGGGCATAACACGGAGACCGAAAACACACCGTACCCATCCTCCAGTACGCTCAAATTCATTTCAAATTTTCATGTACTACTCTTTCCTCCCCGATGTCATTATACTTTCAGGGTCTCACTCACTTTGGCGCTACACGAGCATGAACGGGGACCAGAAATAAATAAATAAAGCTAGAGTGATTGTAGCTTAATTCACGGAGACACGTTCACGGCGCGTATATGAGCCCTCGCCAGCGAAATGTAGCGCTGACAATTCCATCAGAAATTGGTGCAGCTTCAATTACGGGGAGCCAACCTTGCAAATGAATCTTGTTTTCGGGGCTCTGGACCAAAACGGAGCTGACAGAATCCAGGTTGTCATAGTTACTGCATCCGAGGGGGCCCGTCCTGGTCTCCGTCACCTAAAGGAGAGAAGAGAGGAAGAGGAGAGAATGTTACGGGGGATTCAGTAGTAGGTAGTGCTCGGTTACATTGACTTAAGAAGCGTTTAGAAGCAACTGGACTTCGCAGAGTAGCTTTAGGACATAATATTTCACAGTAGTTTGGTAATATATTTGACATTGTAGCAGTACTTTTACTTAATAGTTTTGGACCCTCTTCAAATCTTTATGTTGACAATAAAATAAACAAGCAAGCGGTTTTGCATTTTGTTCCCATTCTGTGCCGAAAATGAACCGAACCGTGACCTCAAAACCGAGGTACGTACCGAACCGTGATTTTTGTGTACCTTAATAGAGTGTGTTTCCATGCACATCAGTATCCTGGTTATTATATTCGGGATATGATGTTTACATGAACGCTAAGAAACCGGGATAGTCATTTCGCTGTGTAAATTATCAAATTTAGTATCCTGGTTACTTGACACAATCTTACAAATGCGCAAGAGCTTCATTTAACTTAATTTAATTTAATAAACCAGGAAAAATACAAACAACCATGAGCTCCTTTAGCATAGGAATATCGGGAGTTTCCTAACCAGCGGTAAAAAGCTATGAGGTATCCCACAGTCCACTGCACAGATCAAACCGAACGTTTCCAAACACACTGCAGCAGATTATTAATTAAAATCGTCTGCATAAAAAAACTCAACTTTACAACATATAAACCATAATCACTACAGAGCCACATCAGACTTTTTGAAAATATAATTCAGTTTTGCCACATTTGTTTACATTTTACAGAAATGAAATTTAAAACCAAATGGCTAATTTGCATAAACTATAAGCGCTGAAAAAACGTCTCTTTCCTTGTGCGCTGATGCGGTTCAGCTTCTGTCGGACTAAAGGACATGACTCAGTGGAATATGACTGTTCTTTTTGTGACAGAGGATGTGCTGATGATGGTGAGTCTGTTCTGTGTGTATATCATATGATCATACGTGTGCAGGTCATACGAGTGCAGATTGTACGTGTGCAGGTTTAGTGCAGCTCTTTATTTTACAGTCATTTCACTCATGTACAGTTACTTTATTTATGTCGCTACTGTTGTGATGAAAAGACTGAAATGTGTCTTGTCTTGTCTTTTGAATGCATGCGCACTCGACTTTATGTTGCAGTAACTGGCACACTGCGTTTACATGCCACAGTATCCCAGTTATTGTGTGAATATACCAGCTACAGTATCCCGGTTTCTCATAACCGGGATACTGCCTTATTCGGGACACTGAAACCGGGATACTGCGTCTTCATGCACCATGAAGAAATCGGGATACTCAAAGGATAACCATGGCCACTGACATGCGCTAGCCTAGCAACAGCGACCTCTGCAAATACAAGGACTGGATGGAATAATAAAAAAAAAATGTTTCCACACGTCTCCAACACTCTGGCTCACTAGGAAATGAGGTCCTATGTCCAAAATTCTAAACTGTCGCTTTCACATTTTGTTCAGTATAATTTGGCAATTCCAGGGCTGAAATGATCCAGCTGATCCTAGTGTAGGTGTATGGAGTTTAAAAACACCGTGGAGCACTACTGTATTACCACATGACATCACAAGGTGGAAGAGAGTGTTTTCAGTTTGAGAGAAAAACTCAGCCTAAATATTCAGAGTTTGTGTGTATGAAACAAAACACAACTCCTGGTCTGTTTGTGATGAGAAAACAACATTATAACATACTGTAGATCAGAAAATACCTTAAAGCTGCACTGTGTAATTTTTTTGTTGAGGGTCCGTCAACTGCTTGTTGCTATGGGTACGTCATTGCTCTGCCTAGAATGTTCCACAGTTTGACATGAAAGAAATCTACCTTACATTTATTCAATTATAGACGGTTTTATAACTCAAAGATTTCAGATTTCACCTGTAACTTGGTCTGGTTTTACTGAAACTGGGATACTGCGTCTTCATGCACCATGAAGAAACCGGGATACTCTAAAAACCCAATCATAACCGGGACACTGATGTGCGTGGATACACACTTATAGAGACACATGTAGAACACCCCCAGCGTGATGTCACTGCTGAGTGTCAATAGGTTACAGAACGAGGCTTTGAAATGTGTCTGCAAACAGCATGCGAACCGCAAATGTCCCTTCACCGTTTAAATTTCATTCCACAGCACAAAACGATCACATACCAGAAAAAGCCTTAAATTGTCCAATACCTTCACATTTCACCTGAAGCGCTCTCCTCTGCATCATTAGTGATTTTAACATTTTGTTCTCAGTTCCGCGGTGGGCTTTTAAACCACGGAACTCAAAAGTGGAGTCATGATGTGCCGGTAAATGTGCGCCTGAGTCAATGTGGTAATTTAAAGAGTCGTGTGGCGGAGCGAGGGCAGAACAATACAAGTGCAATGTGACCACACAGGAGACTATTTAAAGGGGCACTGCGCAAATTTTCCGGTGGACGGTGCGCTACCTGCTTGTCTCCATGGAGATGTGATTGCTCTTCCAGGAATATTCCATGGTACGACATTAAACAGATCCATCAACATTTACTCATTATGGGTGTTTCTGTTGCTCAAAAATACAATAATTCCTTCTGTGAATAGAGACGACTCTCCACAGATCTGAACTATTTTAGCGTAGTGTTGTAATTTGCTGGTTTAATCTATGCTGTGGAACATTCTAGACACAGCAATAACATTTCCACGACTACAAACAGGTCCACGACAAATGCTGCACAGTGCACCTTCAAAAACACAATGAAAAAAAACCCCAAGATGCCAAAGTAAAGCGGTGATTTGTGGATAAAAAGAACACTTGGTTTTCACTTAAGAATTTGTGGCAAAAAAATTTTGTGGCAAAGAGGTGAAAAATGCCTTCCCAACTGTGGAAACTCCTGAGTAAATTACTGCTACTTATTATAATTTTTACTACTTCTACTGCATTAAAGCCTTCAGAGACCAATTTGTCATCCTGCTACAATTGACATGTTAATACTGGAAAGTAACGTGTCTGTCAAACTGTTTCACTGTGTAAGTGTTGCCGCACGATGCTGATCAGCACCAAAATTATTCTATATCATTTCAAACACCATGATGACTAGGCCTTGGTAAGGTGTTCTTATAATGGATGGAAGTCTGGGGAAAATCCTCCAAAAATGGGTCCGGTCAAGTAGTAACGGAGGGAAACGGGCAGATTTTTTACATTCAAATGTCTCTTATTCAGAAACTAGAGGGACTATTGAAATAAGTAAAGTATCAGAATGTAGGAAAGAGTTAACACTCCAACAGGGTAAAGTTAAACCTGTGATATTCTTTCAAGTTGTTGACAAAAATTTTTTAAAAACTCATGTCGGTAACGGAGGGAATGAAATATGCAGCACTTTTTGGGCAATAAATACAAACAGTGATAACTCTTGGTTCTCACTTACATATCCTTAACAAACTGGTTTGAATATTTGCTTCATATAGTTTTCTACCATATGGTACAAGATTAGGTTGAAAAACCTCTTACTTTTTGAGTCATGAGATTTTTTATTAAGAAAGGTCATGGTAACTGAGGGAAAAGTAACGGAGGGAAAATTGTACAAGCAAGTAGAAGGTGCATGATTTTGCATAATTTGTCGCTTTTTTCTTCCAAATACTTTAATATTACTTCAAAATGAAAGGAAACTATTTCTATAAAATATGTCAGTCCTTCCAAGCAAATTTTTATCATTTTAAATACTTTTTTTTTAAAAAAAAAATCATGTACCTTCATCAACAGTTCAAAGATCGAATAACACAAGATATGATGAAATACATCCATTTATTTACATGATTTGCAGGTCTTTGAAATTTGGGAAATAATTTTTGTTCCATGTTTCATACATGGTCTGTTTAAAACGTATGTAACTTTAGAACCAAAAATGGTACAGAAAAAAGGTAAACAGTTTCATAAACTAGAGTACATATGTATCTGTTGAATACATTTTTATATTAGATGCATTAACTTTAATTTTTGGCCTTGCTGTTTACTTCTGCTTGACCGGGCCCAAAGGCCTTTTGTCTTTGCACAACTCCTTATTTTTGGCTCGTGATACCAAGGCAAAGTACAGGAACTGACAAATAAGGGTCAAATTTTGAGCTAAATATTTTTTGCATACAGTGTCTTCATTATAGCAACCAGTTGTCAAATTTTGGGAGCCCTACCTATTATACTTTTGTCTGGACAAACAGAAACTTCCAAGTAATTTTTCTCAGTTTCACAATCTGGTGAGTTAAGGTCTTTTGCCTTTGTAGGGCAAATGTGCACTTCCTGATATCCAATCTAAAAAAAAAAAAAAAAAAAAAAAGACTAGATGCAGACAGTATACAGCAGATATATTCTGACAGTGAATCAGGAAGTGCGCGTGACCACGTCTGGTCTCAGAAAGTTATGAAAAGTGCCTATAAACTAATCGCAGTGATAAGTTGTTGAGACAGGAAACATCAGGTACAGCATCTTTAATGAGTACCGTATTTTTTTGACAAGAAGATGCTCCAGAGTATAAGTCACACCAGCCAAAAAATGCGTAATGAAGAAGAAAAAAAACATACAGTATAAGTTGCACCAGACTATAAGATGCACTTCCAATGTAAGTAAGTATAAATATAAGTTCCATCCAATGACTTCCAGGAAAGTTGCATGGCGCAATCTCCCTGTCGTCACAAGTTTCTCGCTCACTCCAAACTTTCTTTCTGCTGCTCATTTACTGTTTTCGACTGCATATTTCGCTACTTGCAGCTTGTAAGCAGCAAAATATGATTTTCTTTTTGGGGACATTTCTGTTGAGTCTTGTCAGTCGTCTTTATAAGTTTGTTTAAATTTTACATTTTCAGTGGTACAGAAGTAAAGGTGTGATCGACTGACATGATACAGACAGGACAGAGGCTCTTTCTGCAGGAGACAGGCGCAGTAGAGTGAAGTGACAGTGGTACAGGAGTAATAGGAGCTGCAGCTACTGACACTCAAGCGTAGAGCGCCCTCTCATG